ATAAGTGTATGTTTATCAATATTTTATACCGTGGGGGGGTGTACACAAATTCAACACAAAATTATTTCCTTTCTTATTTGTATGGAATATTGGAGCAAATATGATTGACGATATTGACTAGTTGGGCTGAATTCTATTTGGACCAAATTGACTATAATCCGGCATAAATGATACAACTTTACCCTCCCCGTATTCGAATCCATGTTTTTTTAGGTAAAAAATGGTCTTTCGGAAAAAGAAACGGCTCTCTTCCCAATCATCACTTGTTTGGTTACATTCATACGCAACCAATGTGTGCCATATTTGCTATGGAAAAGCACAATCGTAAGGTATATCACACAGACATTTACGTGGCGATAACAAATGAGTTTTGTTTATGACTATAATAATATCCCACGTTTATAAAATATAGATGGCCAGTGACATTTATGGGCGAGGTCTTCCTCATTTTTTTTCCCAGCCATCAGTTATCTGAAGAGTTTCGTAGACTAATACATATTGTTAAAGAATAATCTGCACTGGATACATTATCCATACACTTTTACTTATTAATGCTAAAGTATAACGATAAACAACTGCGTTATAAATTTGTTTCTTTTTTATTCTTAAACATTGCTAAATATAAATATCTAATTTTAAAACGCATATTTGATTCCCCGTTAATTGGAAAAGAACAACTTGTATCTTCTGTACAAATTACTAACAACAGTGTCATTTGTAAGATCTAAATCATGTTTCAGAAAATACTATTTTCCATGCATATTTGGATATGTTTGTATGTATGTCGACTTGTTATCATTTACTTCGAATATCGTTCTGTCCGTTTATCAGTTTCACATTGTTCAATTTGAGTCACAGATGCATGTAGAAAATTTATATTGTTATACACATTAGCTTGTAGTGCATTTTTATATAAAGAAGCAATGAGAGGCCAACCATGAAAATACGAAAATGCACTTTAGACTGGCATTAAATATATTTTGATATTAAAAAAAAATACTAACCGCTATCTGACATGTATGCACGTTGACGCATAGTAAACAAGTAAAAGTATTTTCTTAAAATAGCGCTTGTATAAATACTTTTGTGACTATTCTCACTAGTACATTACTGCGAAGCGATTTATTCAGAGAAAACAATATCATAAGCAAGTATGGAATCTAAACGAGTCTTTGTTTGGGGATGTCTCATTGGGTTATAGTTTTTCATTATCGTTTCAGAGACTGAATGAAAGTAGTACAGTCTATAACTGGATCAATTAATTTGTTTGGAGAGAAAACCAAGTACGAACTATACATATTTAATGACTTGATAAACTCGTAGACTGAATCAGTTTGCGCGTAGACTTATGACTTTCATAGCTAAATACAACCAGTGACAATAAACTATTTAAAATAATCTTTCATATTACATGTATTTTTAAATGACCAATTAACCAAAGGTATTTAATCTTGAGTTAGAAAATGCATCTCTAGCATTTATGGCAATGGTCAAGAAATCATCACGTAGCTCTATTTCTCTGAAGATCCGCTCAGTAAAACCAATGTACTTGCTTTTATACAATAACACGTATTGCAAGAAACGCCAGATCAATCGACGAGTTAGTATATTTTATCTTTATTTGATAGTAATATGTGAACAGGTACTCACAAACTACTTCTATACTGACATTTAGTACCGGAACTATCTAAATTATAAAAAATATTCGCTATTTCGATCATAATTGTATGTGGAAAATACACAGGGGCCTGACGATGCTGAATTTACCAACTTTAATAGTATTTTAATATTTTTCAAAAATGAACTGAAGTGCTTGAAAAATGCACTTTCGTACTTCCTCTAAATGACATGAAATTCTTTAGAAAGTGACTTTTATTTGAAAAAAAAAGATATGGATTGGAAAATCACTTTGAATACATATTTAAACAATGTGAGGTTACCATTTTAATAGGAAAATATATGTATATCCCGATAAAAATTGTTTACTCACAAATGTAAATATAAATATATAAAAAATATTTTAATTGTTACCACATCAACTTATAGCATTGATTTATTTTTAATGCATTAATTTTAATTAAATGGATGACTGATTAAAAATTCTAAATCGAATACACATAACGTTACACACACATACATACATACATACACACACACACACACATATATATATATATATATATATATATATACATATATATATATATATATATATATATATATATATATATATATATATATATATATATATATATATATATATATATATATGCTTTTTAAAAAGCATTCAAAACGGTTAACTATTCGGTTTTATCAACGTCAAATAAATAAATATAATAATATAATTCGTATTTTAACATTTGGTTTCTTGCGCTGATATTTAAAGAGCTGCTAACTCTATTATAATTTATCACAAATCTGCAAAATCATTTTATTGTCGCAAATATTAAGAGCCTACTATATTGATAGTAATATTGTTCTTCCCAGACAATTTGAAATAGTAACCTTGTCAGACCTAACAGCTGAATGGTCCTCTGCGTCACAATTATTGAATTAAGGTACAGCTGATGGAAAATTGATTTAAATTTAGAAATTCAAGACAAAAATCTCACATAAATATTATTGAAATGCACGAATTGTTATTATCGGAACATTCTCCAGTTAACAGTTTAATCATTGAATCAATGTAGACTTATAAATTATTATATTTCTGACGAAGTCGATCCATCGCACGTGTACGTGTCAGGGTTTGCGTTCCAGTACTCAAAGTTCACCTAAATGAACGGAAAACATAAACGAAAATCACAGAGAATTATTTTCCTGTCAGGATATTTGTATTTATTCTATATATGCGGAAATATGAGTGTTACATACAGCAAATAATAAACATTATCTATCATAAAAACAAACTACAACAACAATGAAATACCATAATTCATATTGAAAAGCTCAACGTGCAGTTGAAAAGAATGGTCAGATGACATTGGTATGACAAGGCGATAAGTAAGCAGAGACGTATAAAATATGTATTATAAATGCCACTGTATTTAAGAAACAACAAAAACGTCTAAGGCAAATCCAGTTTTCAGAATTGTAAAAGTAGACTTGCTATTGGAGATGACTGCATGCATTTTGATAGATAGGGTCAAGTACAAAATCATACCCACCCTTTAACCGCACGCCTACACAATACTAAAGGTTCACTATCCATAGATTTTTGTTCCTTTAATAAAAAAAGGAAAGTCTATACTCGTTTATAAGTAGAATCCAACTGCAAATTTCAGAGACACTGATCTGACCTCACAAAACACGCAAACAGATCGGGGTCTTTGCTGTTTGGCGTAATAAGTAGAACAAACAACACATAGTCAGATCTGTAAGCGAATTATACAACAACAAATTAGTCTGCTATGTTGCTTGCAGTTGAACTCTGCTTATAAGTGGGTGTGGTATGCATACCTCAGTATGTGCGTATTTTTAATAGCGAGTCTAGTAATAACATATTTATGTCTAAATTGAATCTTTATAGCCAAAGTTGCTGATTTATAGAATTTGTACATACCGCATATTTCATTTAAATGGCCTATCACAATCCAAAAATATAGAATGTTTGAAATGAAGTCAGATAGTCTTGAATGTTCTGATGCAACACAATTATGCAATCTTTGAACGTATCAATCCAAAAGTGAATGAGTACTTTAGTAATTCCAATTCGAAATTATATCCATACACCAATGAAAACTCTTATTAAAAAAAGATTCCCACAGACTGACCAAAAAACAGGATAAAAATTAATTTTTTTTAATTAATCAAATCTCTATTTGAAGACATTTTCATGTGAATCGCTCCAAAGGATTATTCTACTCTAATTGTAAACAAGACTTGTCCTAGAATGTTCATAACTCAAATGCTATGTAAATATTTTATTTACAACTTATACACGCGGACAATGTTAGCTATATAAACATTCTCGCTACATTAACTAAATTAAAACTTACAATCATTGACAAAAGTTAATCATAGAATTAAATATACGTAAGAAATTATATCACATCGCATATCCCGCCTCGCATCATTTATTGCAAGACATAGTTCCTTGATTCAAAATGCTATACTATTCTCTGTTTGAATCCTATCACTAAAATCACTTATATACTGTTGAAAATATTGTGCGAGACACACTTACGATTTTTCCAAACATTTAAATTCTGAAAGCTGCTGGAGTTAGTGGACAGCAAGGACGGGTTTGTAATTCATCCTCGTGTCAATCAAATGTGTGCCAGTTTAGTCAGACCAGTTTTGGAAAAATGACTTAGCTCAACTTTATCACAGCTTGTAAAAAGTTCTGTGGATATGACGAATAAAAAGTCTTGAATCTTGAAACTTAAAAAAGGGTGTCCGTATAGCACGTGAATATTGATAAATAATCAGTGATAACATGCCATGGCTGATATAATGTTTTTAATTAATGAATTATTACTCCAAGAAGGCGTAGCATTTAAATATTATTACCATTAGGTGTACCAATACTTTTGAGGATTTCGTTGGGAAGTAACAGGGAGCTTTCCATACCTTGTTATATAAGGTTCACAAAGAAATCATACATAATGAACCCATGCTTACAGTGTGCAACGACTTGGACGTACCTGTTAAAGACTACTTATGAAAACTTTGGAAGCTTTATACTCTATTATGGGTAATTTTATTGATTACCAGATGTGACAAAAGTAACAACTAGCATAACCCTGAAATTTTTGTTATCACAAGACACCGTGGTGGAATGGTTTCAAGTCGTAAATACTGGCTCTATCGATTGCATGCTCTAAATACAAAAGTTCAAATGGTCAAGTATTACTAATCTATCAACAAATTTGTAATATCCAGAAACTATTAATGCACAAATTTAGTCGCTGTCATTGTTGTATTTCGTTTCTAGACCAAAATATGGCGTTGTCAGTATTCTAAGAACAATAAAAACAATGATTTGGCCTAACCGTTCCGGTGGTTTAGTGGGTAGAGCCTCCGCCTCTGATGCAGAAGGTCGTGGGTTCGATACCCGGTCCAGTCATACTAAAGACTTATAAAAATGGTACTAACAGCTTCCACGCTTAGCGCTCAGCATTAAGAGGTTAGTGTTAGGACTGGTCGGCCTGGTGTTAGGATAATGTGAATGGGTGGGACATCATGCCACATGTCTGCGGCATGATTCCCCAGTGATAGACATCACTATAAACTGCCACACTGCAGACATCGTAGCAATATGACTGAAAAGGGTACGTTAAAAATCCAAAATCACACACACACACACACACACACACACACATGACTTGGCCTAATTTTGCATGTGTAATTGGTTCTATTCTGGAAATTAGACCAAAAAAGCTATTACAGTAAATTCACAGAATTTTTATCAATAAACATGATTGCAGTACATTAAGTCAATCCTGTATTTAACGCAGAAGAGAAACGTTAAATGTCTGCTTGTAAATAATTCTTTGACGATATTAGTACTGCTATTCACCCCTACCTAAACCACGTCCATCTCGTTGAAGTTTGTTTTGTTTTGTACCCACTGTTCTAGGAATAACCAAAAATAAAAACAACAATAATCACCACTTAAAAAAAAAAAAAAAAAAACAAATACAAAGCTACCTGTTTAAAGGTATTTGAGACATATTTTCCTCGGCTTTCGAAAACTGGATGTAATCTTTGTAATATATAGTTTGCATCCTAGATATTTACAAGGATATACGAAACGTGCATATCATTCGCATGTAAGTCCCACTTCAAACTGCACGAACCCAAATCTGCTTTCTCATTATGCGCCTATGCAGTTTGGTAGAAGTAATAAATACGAAAACACAAGAGAATCTGATCTACCGTCGCAATATATTGCAACAGATCAGAGTTTATGTTGTTTGTATTTGAAGTGAACGTGTCAGTTAAACATGTTATCACTTTATTAGTGATACATTTTCATAGTGAATTCTGGCAGATTAATGAAAAAAATAATGAAGTTAATAAACATTGAATTTATATATTGTATATGGCACAAACTGTCCAGGTATTGAAGCATTGGGTAAGGAGACGTTCTCATGGTCATAAAATCTTAGTACAAGAAGTGTCATTACCTAACAATTCAGATCTCGTCCGGGTCAATACTAATACTGGCTCGTGGCAATATTTTAAAAAATTAGTGACAGCTGCTGGAGAGATGATAGGCTCGGGTAATAATCTATGACCATGCTCGAGTAAAACAAATCGGTCCATGTTTGATTACAGGGTGTTGCTCTACATTTTAAATGTTCGTCGCCTGGTGTTGCAGATTAAGTTTTTTAATAGAAGTAGCGTTGTGTTCAAATCTATTCAAGTGCATCGTTGCACCACAGGGGCATAATTAAAATGTCTATAACATAACGTGTGCCTTCTGAGAATTGAATGAGGATTGTTTCTGTTGAATAAAGCAAACAATAAAAATATCCGGAATGTGCGTGCAATATCGGCTAATGTGTTAAGAGAGTTTTCAGTTATCGTTGACATAAATATGAAAGAACTTTAAAAATGATATTCGCATAATATTGATTTAGAACGCAATACATGACCTCCTTATACCAATTTTAATTGAATCTGATTGAACCTTCCATGTGTCAAAGCTGCATTTTATGTTAGTCTAAAACCTTGAATTTAAGTGCAATATTTCCCTAGATTGTTGACTTTCTATAATGAAATCTCTCATTGCGTAGCATTATTTTTATAATATAATTCAGTTTACACAATTATTTTTAGTTAACATGTCCAAGTTCGTACAAAAGTGACAAGAAAAGAATGAAGCCAACAAGCTTGCAAACTTTGACAAATAATGTATTTCCAAAGAAAAACAAGGTAAAGATAAGAAAAAGGAAAAGGATTTACGGTTTTTTAGTCAAATCCAAATATTAATCCAAGAAATAAAAAATATGCGTTCTACCAATAAAACGTTCTAAGTGAATCACAGTTCGAATCCTGAGGAAATTCTAGATGGAAGGCGATGAAGTCTTTAATAACCTTCAAATAGTTGCTGTGCTAACCGTTCCTTGTTGAATTACAAATAAAGATATTTCAGTTTTGAATTCTGAATAATTTCAATAAATGTCTTTGTCCAATAATTTTGATAAGGAGCAATTATATGTATGTTTTCCAGAGAAACTGAATTCCGAAAAGAAAATAATTCAAATCAAACTGGTCACACCAAAACACCTTTGAGCTTAGGTTGAAAGCACAACTGGCTATTTCTTTTGAAGAAAACGACTGTTCAGTAAACTAAGACGTAAAACAGATTCCCGGATGGGGTCACGTGACCATCTTCTAGAAGATCATGGAAACTCTTTCACATTTCTAAAGCCACGTACTACAGTATATCCTTAGCTAAAAACCATTTTTTAACTATAGAAATGAATAATAAAAAAGTTTCTTACTCCAAAGCTGACACTGGTTCTGAATCAAGGTCAGCAAACAAATAAAAGGTTTAAACTACCTGGCTGTTTATCAGGCCAACCAGAACTGAATTTTTTTTTTAAAAATCCAAACAAGCAATAAAATCCAGTAGACAAAATTATCAATACAATAGGATATGATGGAATAAAATAAAAATCTAAATATTCAAAACTAACAAACAAATAAATAAATTACCTATACATGATATCAACTCTAGGTATCAAATGTTTGATTTAGCTGAGCTCAAAGCTTGGCCTTGACTTTATTGTTCGTGAAATCAGAAACTTCTGAAGTATTATTAACTTAAGCAGTACTTTTAAGATACTATTAACGGATTTGTCTTTGAATAACTCAACACTTATAAATAGATTAGGTTAATTTTAAAAAGTTATACACGCCAAGTGGAAAAGAGAGAGTCATTCATAGCATTGTATGGAGGTCAAGAAAAAGACCAACACATATGAATTTTGAGCATTGCTTTCCTGAATAAGGGTGATTAGTATTATATACATCTATCAGTGTAATTAACGTTAAAGTCTGCATGCGAGTCATCTCCATCTAGTGCATCTCCGATCCTAATTTCTCAACTATTTAAGCCACTTTTACTCGTCCCTTACAAGAATCTTGCGCGGTGCACATTTATGACTTGGAGAAAACTTCAAGCTGTCGAATATTGATTGCGCAAATGAGTGTCCACTGTCTTAAGCAGCAAGCAAAACCCAATGAGTACAGCTTTTACTATCCAAAAGGATGCCTTGCTGGAACAGGTTGTAGTTGCACAAAATATGGGTAACTGGATTTTTTTCAGACTGTTTAATCTGTTCTTCAAAAATAACAATACATTTCTCAGCAAATGTACCAGGAATTGCTGACCATGGATCCATTTTCATAGAATCTAACCTAATACTGATAAAAGTGAAGAAGTAGTAAATGAATATGAGATTGCTGTCTCAAAAAAAAAACTTAAACACACACCTCCCAAGTTTGAATATGATGGTGCTGTCTCAGACAGAAACACCAACCCACCTCCCAATTTTGAAGATGATGATGATGTCTCAGAAATTCCGATTGCAGAATGGCCACGAAGAACATTCCGACTATCTTTAAAAACATTATTCTGGAAGTATCCATTGCAAATTATCTATCTTTAATCAGATTCCAAAAGATTATGGAGTAGGCGTTAGTTTTGAGAAAATCCAATGGAAATTATCTATCTGTAAGCTGATTTCATTCTGGAGAAATTGTTATGCTCTAAAAATCCACTGGAAATTACCTATCCTTTGCATTGCAAAGTTTCAGAATGTTCCAGAAAATTACATGATTTAGTTATTATTGAAATTCCGTGTGAGCACTACGACGGAAGTCAGAATTTTCTTTTGTGATCATTTTGCAAGAGAATTTAAACGTGGACAGCTAAGTGTGAAAATATTTTTTTCTAACAAAATATATATTTGCATAGAATGGGGAGTAGTATTTGAAAATGGGGTTGTGATATTCTTCTATTTGTTTTCATAGATCAAACATTTTAAGCCTTCTATCATAAAAAATACGGTGAACAGGTAAATGAAAATTGAAATTATTTTATTTTATACCCTACCATCACTATACTTTTTTGAAAATCTTTTTCATACCTGCTAGCTCTCATTGGCAGAATATATGTTATTATGCTGTTAATATTACAAAACTCTTGTATTAAATCGTCCATATAATGTTTTGCATAACGCAAATGGATCGTATCTAATCAAATAAAGTTTTATAAGTGATGCTTGCTGTTGGACAAGCTTTATTTTTAATTGCAAGTCGAGGCTCAATTGTTTACACGGTGTTGTAAGAGAAAGACCAATGCCGGATATTATTAACAAAAAAGGATTTATTGATGCTCCACTTGAAGTTATACCAAAGCTAGTCATTATCATTGGTAGATACCTCATTTTTCTTTAACCAAATAAATGAATCTAATATGTCTGATACTTCACCCTTATACAAATAAGTTACATTCACCAAATCAGAGTAATCGATTTTTGTTTCATCAATATACACTAATACCAAGTTTATCTGATCTGACGTGAAATTTTTGTGAACGAGATATTGTCTGACAATTGCATATGCGGCTACGAAATTTGTTAGTAATAATTGTTTCAGCTTATTTAATTAAACTGTAAAAAGATCTATAGCAGATGTCACTTTTAACATTAGTTTTTTATGGCTTTGTAAATATTTTCTCAATTTCATTGTAATAATTTCGTAATGACAATTGTCTAGAGTTTTGGCTCGATATAAATGGAACATCATCTTCATCTCCTATGTGATAGTAAGAATTAAACTTTACATAAAATGTTGTTTGATTGACTTCTTCAAAAAACTTTTCTCGTTCAATATCACTGAAATTATAAATTTCATCATCAAAGTTTTTTCAATATCGCTAGGGATTTGTTAACAAAAATTGGATAAAATTCTGGGTCTCTTTTAACGCATCATTGGTAGAAGTGCATTCGAGGATGCCTTATTAATTCACTGCGCATCCCCTGACATGGTCACTATTTTAACTTGGGTTTTTTTTTGTGGTGGTACATGCCGATATATTTGAAAATTTCT